GGGGGGGAGGGGGGCATATAAGGACTACCTTTACCCAAGGGAGCTCAGTATCAGAGTTCTCAGCCCTGATGATGCAAACTGCAACGTTTGCGAAACGTCGGCATATCGCTGATTCAAGACACGGCTCCATTCCGGAAACTATATCTAGACATTAAAACAAATATTGGCCTCAAGAGTCTGAATATGCCATTGTCAACACCATTTGAAGTAAGCGGTGGAAACTTTGTTATACACCTAATAGCTTGTTTTTAAAATTTGTAAAGCTTATTCTTTATATGAAAGAACGAATTTTTCAAATTTAATCCTCTATCACTGTATTTACTAGGTGCGCAACTAAGTTTCCGGGTTTCATATATGGATGGCGCTAGCCACACATGTAGTCGACATACATGTCTAAAGTTGTGTTTCTTTTATAGCTTGGACATCTGTCAACAATAACCAGTCATAATACCAACATATATCGCAACGCAAAAATATTTTTCTAACAATTAAGATGTCCAGTTTTGTGCCAAATAAACAACATTTGCGGGAATCTTTGCTTTTCTGCTTTAACTTAAAAAAAAAATGCAGCTGAAACACGTCGTTTGCTTGAAGAGGCCTACTGCGAACATGCAACATCGAAAACTACCAGTGTAGATTGGTTTAAATGCTTTAGAAATAGCGATTTTGACACTAAGGACAAAGAGCGCTCCGGAAGACCAAAAACAATTGAGGACGCCGATCTGCAAGCGTTATTGAAATGAAGATGATACGCAAACACAAGATCAACTTGCGGAGGCATTAAATATGACTCGCCAAGGTATTTCCAAACATTTACATGCCATGGGAAAAATTCAAAAGAAAGGAAAATGAATGCCGCATGAGTTGACTAAGAGACAAATGAAAAATCGAAGAGCCACTTCCGAAATTTTGCTTTTGCGGCATGAAAGAAAGAGTTTCCTGCATCGAATTGTTACTGGCGATGAGAAGTGGATATATTTCGAGAACCCCAAACGCAAAAAATCGTGGCTTTCACCTGGCGAAGTATCAACATCGACGGCACGGCCAAATCGCTTCGGAAAGAAGACAATGCTCTGCGTTTAGTGGGACCAGAAAGGAATCGTACTATGAGCTGCTGAAACCGGGCGAAACTGTCAATGGGCATCGCTACCGACAACAACTGATCAATTTGAACCATGCATTGCTCGAAAAACGGCCAGAATGGGACACGAGACACGAACGAGTGATATTGCAGCACGACAACGCTCCGTGTCATCGCACTCCCATCATCCAGGATACCATCAAAACGCTAAAATGGGATCTGCTACCGCACCCGCTGTATTCACCAGACCTGGCCCCTTCCGATCACTTGTTCCAGTCGATGGCGCATGGCTTGGCTGGGCTACACTTGGCCAATTTCGAAGAAATGCAAAATTGGTTGGATGAATGGTTTCGGTCCAAAGATGCGTCCTTTTATCTTTGCGGTATTCATGTATTGCCAGAGAGATGGCAAAAATGTGTAGCTAGCGAGGGACGATACTTTGAATAAACCATTTTTTGTATTTCTCTTGAAATTTTCCATTTTTCATTGATCAAAAAACCCGGAAACTTAGTTGCGCACCTAGTATTTATAGCAAGTTACTAATTGCAATGATACATATGCAATATTAAACTATTTACAATCAATTATAAAACGATTACAATCTGTACGAACATGTTATATTATTTTATATATTCAACTCACATTCTGAGCATTACTGCTGGCTCTATCAGTGTTACAAATGTCTGGAAAATGTTGTCCATGATCTACATTGCTTGTATCAACATTATGCATTATCAATTCTTCATTCTGTTCTTCAGAATTTTCGGAAATATCACTTGAGCTGCATTTCAACTGTTTTTCCATTATATTTGCTGCAAATTTATCAAAAACTTCTTTAAAAAAAGATTATTTTTATTAATATATTCTTAATTTACTAATAAATTCTTAAATAATTCTTAATTTACTAATAAAAATAATGAAAACACATCATATGTTAATTAAGAATATTTTGATTCATCTTATATATGTATCTTATATAAGTATTTTTTGATTCACCTTATATATGTAATATGAAGTATTTATAAACTTCATGTTAAATAAAACACACAAAGCCTTTGTAATTGTAATGTGTTCGAGAGCGAGAATAACCTTCTCGAAACAGTCGATCGAACGTTCCAAAACATTCGGTCGATCATCAGCATCGCGAAAGGCTTGCGCTAGCCACAGCGCGAGACCGTTTTTTCTACGCGGATTTCGCTCGCTGGTCGCGGTTGCCATGCCGACCACTCGGCCAAACAAACAAATGCTCGCGCTAGACAACTCACGCGTTAGATCGCCGCTGTTGCCATGCGGACCATATAAAGCAATTTTCTCGAATATTCGGCAACCGTGACCAACCAGCGAGCGACCTGTCGCCAAGTGCTTTTTCCTTAAAAGCTGCTCTCGTCGACACGACGAGAGTCTCGCACTTCTAGTCGTCAGCTTCACATCGCGCAAAAACCACTTCGATCAGCTACTTCGCGGCGACTTCGACTGACGCGTCGAAACCGTCGCCCATCCGACAGATAGTCCGGAGTTCAATTTCGGATCTCGGGCCGGCTATCCTGTCGCGACCGCGGAATTCGCGGCGCTTCCGTCTCGAGCGAGATTCGAGGGTCGCAGCTTCGCCGCGACTCAGCTCGAGCGCCGGGGAGTTAAAACTCTCTCGGGCCGGCTCTCTTCTCTCGCGCGCAAAGCAGTGCTGGCAGTTCGCGATATATTTTCGCGCACGCGCATTGAGCAAACTCTGTGGTAACCTCAGCGCCGTATCTATTTTAAGGTATCGTAAGATCCTTCACCTAAAGGAAAATATGAAAGGATTGTAGGAAGAAAAAAAGTTTGTGGAAAGAAACAGAATGCTATTCATAAGTAAAAATAAATATATTTTTTATTTTGTAATTTCTGCAGCCAACCAATCACACGAATACCAACATCTGTTGCAAGGGTAAGGGAAACTGCAGAAAAACCTTATCAGTATTCTTACAAAAAAATTGTACATAACAAATAATATTTTATAATAAATTCAGAAAATATAAATACGTATATATTAATTACAATATATATTAATTACAATACATTTTAATAAAATTTATATAAGTAATAATACATATGGAATTTGTAAAACAATTTTTCTAATATAGAATAATTTTTTAATATTAATTGATGCTGTTGCTATGAGGCTTCTGAAAAATAATAAAACAATTAATATATTATGGCCACACATATGAGCATGAGCGCATATGTGTGTGATCACATTTTTGCCACCAAACATAAAAAATGAAATAAATAAAATAAATATGATCACAAAAA